TGTGAGACATAAAAAGAAATTTTATCTTCTCCACAGAGGTCCCACTGAGATAGTAGCAGAGAGTTATAGCAATAGATATATGAATTGAAGGTCACCCTTCAAAGGCCCAAACAGTCTTAGAAAATAAAACATTGCAGGACAGAGGGAAGTGCACAGCATGTAAAACTGGCATGTTTATACATATAACAGTAAATAAGAAGTGGGGATAGGAGTATAAACTCTGAGACATTATATAAATGTGTTTTGAGAAAATTGCCTATAAAACTCCTCAGCTGCACTTCACCTATTATGATTTTACAGACTGCAAACAGAATAAATGATAATGTCACAACCACAGGAAAGCACAGAATAAGAAAGCATTACAGAGATGCCACTGTTAGGGAGCACTACATTTATTTTTCAGAACCTCTATACAAATAGATGGACAAGAGATAAATATTGTTGGAGATGATAACTATTCAATACAGGCATGGTGTCATGCCATTAAGCAGACCCTTCTCCTAGGGGACAAGGTGAATAATGTACAGTGATCAAATTTTCATTAATCTTTTGCATGATTAAAAGGTGGTAAATAAAACATATCTGGGAGCAGCACTGAGAGCACTGGAAAAGACAGGTCTACATAAAGCAATGTGAGATTGATGGGCCGGAGCACTGAACAGGCATTGGGGGAATTTAGTCCTCAGATCTAGAAGTTTGGTGTACTGGAAAACAATATCCTATTAAAATATAGATTTTTTTTGGTTCATGTGAGATTGACTTTGCCAGAGGAGACAGCCACATCTGACACCAAGGTGTAACCCAGCCCCTCTCGCTGGGGCCGTGCACTAGATGTTGACAGGCATCAGCTCCAAGCATTGATGGGAGGGCGATAATAACAGCCGAGGCAGCCCTGTGCGGGCCTTATCCTTGCATTCTCCGTATGCAAATCATTAGCTACTGCCTCCTTTGTTAAGCAAGGTTTGTACAGTGTGCTCCTCTTCCTTTATCATTCGTAGTGCCAAGCCTGCGGAAATGAAAAGCAATGCAAATATGTCTGGCTTTTAGGAGTCGGCAGATAAAGCAGGGAGACCTTCAAACCGCGACGTTTCGTCCGCTTCAGTTTAGCCTTGACCGAGGCATGCAAATTATACCTGAGACGTAGGGAGAGTGACGCCGCAAGCTGCACAGGCGCAAAGCTGGGGCTTGAGATAGGCAAATCTCTCCTGAAGCAGGGTTAATTGGCAGAAAATATCTATAGAAAGGTTTAGAAAAAGAGGTTTGCGAAGTTCCACCAGAAAAAGCACACATATTTATGCCGTATACTGTTTGAGTCCTGACGGTGAAACGCTTGCAAAGCATTTCAGCCTCTTATTTTGTCATTTTGCTTCTAGGCAAGGATGTGTTCTACTGCTGACCCAGGTACAAGGCGCAATTCAGCACTGCTTTATCAGATCAGTATTACAGTTTCAATTCTCACTGGAGTTTTATGGACCCTTTCAGGAGCTTCCTGTGGTGATGTGATCCTTATTGTGCTGCTGGATGCTGGTGTGCGTATTCGGTGCTCCCAGGATAACATCCATGAGCCAAAAACTTTGGGTAAATGAGAGCTTGCGGCAAAACTGAAAAGAGTACAAGTAAACAAAGCCTAGATTATACACATCCACAGAGGATGAGGAGGCATATTAATGGCAGAAAATGCATTTTTTCTGACACCCATTTTTTGTATTATGCATATCAAACTGAATCATTGCATGACTGGAGAAGACATCACTACATTTAATAAAAAAAAACATCTTTCCTCATTTGTATTTATATAACATTTTTTCATATGCAGCTTCAAGCTGAGTATGTTTGAAAGCCTCAGCTGGCTGTGATCAGATTAGTCATGTGCTACAATTATCTAAATGTTGTTATACACACCTGAACCTCCATCTGACTCCTCTCATTTAGTCCATCATTTATGGTTTCTTGTAGCACTGACCTTTCCTGATAATTTCCTGTTGGCTACTGCTGAGGCTCACTTCAGCGGATGTACAGCCCGGCTCCAACAGCTCTGTTCCCCTTTATCTGACATTGTCAGCACCAAAGGGGGGCCTTTATGTGGCCTGACTGCTCCATGTGGAGTTGGTAGGAAGAGGAGGCTATTAATGTAACTTCTAGGTCAAAGGGCAACAGCACACATTGACCTGATGATTGGTCATGAAGAAACAGCACACTGCTTCATTTCCTACTATGACGGATAGTAGATTTGTATTCCGTGCGGATTTCTTTGACACGTGTTGAAAGAGAGAAGGATAAAGAAACACAGCAAGGGAGAGAGACAGCCATAAAAACAAGTAGAGAGAGTAAGGGGGGAGGGGAGGGCAAGGTTTCTGGTAGGGGTTCCCCAGTGTGTTTTCACCTGCAGTTTAAGCTTGCTCGTAACAATCCTGCTCGTCTCCCCAACGTGTAGTGTGCCAGCGACAACATAAGCCACTGGCACTCAAGCTAGGATGAAGGTGAAGAGGCATAAAGGATGTGACAAAACTAAGTCTCAATGGTGATCATTTAACTAAGAAGTTTTACTCAAATATGGCACTTATAGAAACTGCAGTTCGCCTTTAATAGACAAAAAATGGCAAATTACATTTTAAAGAATGTTTTTCCATTACAAATTCTGTTATAGCTTTTTTAGCTTAACAAACAGGTTAATCAATCAATGTATCTTTTTTGTCACATTAGTCAATTTATTAAATATATGTTGTTGTTTTTTAATTTAAAGGTCCAGTGTGTAACATTTAGGATGATCTATTTGGCAGAAATTAAATATAATATTCATAGGTATGCATTCTAGCACTGTTTTGGGAACATTATTATACAAAACATACCTGTTTGGTTGTAAAAACATGGTGGATCAACATGGCAGCCTCCACAGAAGGCAACCGACAGTGTGCAAAGATAAAAACGGCTCATTTGAATTCATTCATTCATTTTTAGGTGATTATACAGGATCACTATACATGCACTGTATAATATAACTAACTAGAAGGTTTTCTCTGAGCTGCAGTGTCTCAGTTGTTGTTTCAAGGCCACTGTAGTTTCTCCTTCACACTTGAAAGGGGAGGAGCGAGGGAGTAAATCTGCAACTACACTGCTAGATACCACTTGTCTTTTAAAGGTCCAGTGTGTAACATTTAGGAAGATCTATTGGCATAAATATTCATAGTTATGTATTCATTAGTGTATAATCACCTGAAAATAAGAATTGTTCTTGTTACCTTAGAATAAGCTGTCAGTAGCCCAGAACAAACAAACAAACACTGGCTCTCAAAAAGGATTCTGCATCCAACATACTGTAGTTTCTCCTTTGTGCTTGGTTGGGTCAAGGGGTTTAACATGGTTGCAGTCTGTAATCTCACTGCAGGATACCAGTGCCTGAAATGGGACGCTGCTCACCAGTACTCAGTTCTGGCAGTTCTATCTTTTTTTCCACGAGTACCCTTATTTCTTATTAGTACCGCCACCTCTGTTGAGCATGGCTATACCCACCACTGAGGTCACTGGTATTTTTTCTAAGGGGGAGACAATAAAAGTTGTGAAATAACTGTCTAAAAATAACTACTTTGATGATTTGATTCCCCAAACCACCCCCAAGCAAGGTCAGTCTTTGGACCTTGGTATTTCTAAAACCCTGTGTAAGCAACGCTGATGATGTACTTGTAAACAAGTGCGTAACTGTATCTCTGTGTAAACACATAGGTAGCTTTACGCTAAGAAAACAGCACTGAAAATGTCCTTGATAAAAAGGATAAAAAATACCCAAGGAATTAGGGTTAGTCACCTTTTTTGGTCCAATTCAGGCATTGCTACACACCACTAAGTAAATACAAAAAATGTACATTTTGAAATGTAATATTATGAGAATCAAGTTGTAATCTATTATGAGAAAGTCATAATATAAAATTAGTCATGTTTCATGAAAATAATATTAAATAATATTACAAAAAATAAGTTGATGATTCATGAGTAATACTGATGACCTGAAGTTACAGGTTCCATAATGTATGAGTCAATAACTGTTTTGAAGCAGAAGCTGGAGTACAGCAGGGAATTGTTTTTTTTTCCAGAGAGCTGAGACAAGAGTTCAGTCATGACATCAGAAAATGATTAAAGCTCAGTCAACTTTATGCAAATGATGTGAAAGGCAGCCAGAATCTACCTGTCCTAGTCTGCTGTGCATTGCATTATTGCTCTGCACTCTGCTATCACTGATATGGCAGTATCCCATTCAGATAGACACATGTCATAAGTCCCACCAGGTTTGTGACTGTCTCTGAATGAGAAAAAGTTTAGGGAAGCTGCTGATATGGAGAAGTTACCAGATGTAGGCCTACATTTGCCAAATCACACCTTTGTGTTGCTTATTATGCTGCAAAGGTGCCTATAAGTGAGGGAGAACCAGAACAGACAGTGACACAGAGCTACTGGTCAGAAGAAAATAACTATAGGCTGCAGTGGTGTGTACTGTTAGAAAATGCTATACACATACCCAGTCTAACACTTGAAGCAACCCATTTAATTGCGCCTTTTTCTTGAACAATTACTTTTTTCTCGCAATAATACTAAAGCCTTGTAATTTTATGACTTACTTAAATCTCTGTTGTTTTTTTAATCATGGCCCTAATACTCCATCGTAGTATTCTTAGTTTTACTCAACAAATAGATTTGTGTTTTAAGCCCTGGCTTCCAGCAGATGTAGAGGTAAGCTTATTGTAATTTGAATGACCAAACAACCAAAAACTGAGAACATAATAATCCAAATGATACATCAAAGAGAGGATTTTCTGTTGCTGAGTCATAGAGAAGTGGCAAAAGTGTAACATAATTAGCATAATAATGTTGCAGATGCACAGTGTATCTCTAAAACCTCAACTACTGTACCTTTGACAACATCAGCTGCCTTTATCATAATTCGAAATCAGTCATCAGTAAAAAACAAAACAAAAAAAAATCAAGATTGAACCCAAAGTCATGTTTAAAGATGTTTTTTAATTCAGCATATGCTTGTTAGACAATGTTTAGACATTTAACATTATTGTACCACAGGGAAATTACTGTTTCCACATGCCTGTGATTGCATTATGTATAAGGACAATTACAGTTAATGACTTTTTTAACTTTACTTTTGTTGGTCTGGTCGTCATTTCAATCAGTTATTGTAATTTTGTATTCACAAAATGAATCGCTGAGGTATGGTCTAACAGGTCAAGATATGAGCAGTCAGATGATCACACAGGTTGTAAACAAGCCAACAGTTGTGGGTGGTAAAATTAAGGGTGAACGCTCCCATTTTGTCAGTAATAATGCCTCATTGCACAGGAAAACTGTATGTGCACGACTACAGCAAGGGGTTTGTTCAAAAGCTGTATGATCACGTGATTGTTTTTCTCATCTCACCAGTCTTCTTTTCAGTAATGTCACAATGTCCCCAGATCTCAGCTGTTATCATAACACCACAGGAAATAAATTGCATACTGTGCCTTATGCAGTCTCATCTAAAACATCAACACTGTTGCAGAGTCCGCTTTACAAAAGGGAATATAGGTTTAGTTAGTACAGTAACAATTTGAATTAGTAGTACAGTACGTTCATTCAAGATTATTAATATTCAGTGCATGGATAATACCTGTACACATGTAGTGTAAGCAAATGAAATGTATGAGTTTTTAACATCACCATCAAAGTTCACTATACTTTTGAAATGAAATCTCAGTTGTTAGCAGATAAGCTTTTTGAAACAGTTCAACAATGCCAACTCTATGGCAGCTTTTGTAAAGAAATCATGTATAGTTATTCACGCTATTCAAGCAGGAATACACACTCATCCTCTGGTTAAGGTTGAACGAACAACCTCTGACCATTATGGCATTGTGGCTGCAGCCGCATTGAATCTCACATAAATTAGAGTATATATGTCTGATGTGACATTGAGATTTACATTTAGATGACAGCATCTGAGGGACAGTTTACATTGTCTTTTTTTTAATGATTCTGGCTGACAGATGGATGTTTAAATGCTTTTCAATTTCAGGTGAGGGGGAGAAGAAAAGAGAAATACCTCAATGGGAGGTCGAGGAAATACTGAACATGAACTCTATCCTTCATCTGTGATGAAGGGATAACATGAAAATGTGAATGTGTGGTTGAAAGGCTAAGTAGAAATAGAGGTGGAGAAAACTGATATACCATAACCCTTAGCATCGCTCGGTTTATTGAAAATCCACAAAGCTATGCTCATAGAGAGATATTTGCGTGGCCTCCACTGACTGTGTCAACACACTGTGAAAAATGTGCACTCTTAAGTATACTTCTTGGTTTTGTCTGTGAGATAGCTGCCAATAGTCCATGTTTTACAGGCTTGCCAACTCTAATAATTTCCAATTAAGAAGTGATGAAGCAAAAACTTTACAATATTAAACATGCAGTAACACCGACTGCTTCTCATACCAGCTCCAATTCAACATAATGGTGTTAAATAAAAACCAAAATTTCATAATTTTACAAGTTTAAAAAAATAGAACAGCTTGTACATAGCCTAATGACAACTCATTTTATATATCATTCAATATGGTTAAAATGGTTTTATTATCAGGTCAAAGACAGACCATGTTTTTTTTTTTTTTTTTTGCTGATCTAAAGACATAATAACCACCAACAATGGATATGTGAGGTTTCCACCTGACAGGGATGTCTGGTTGTTTATGTGCATCTTCATATCCTGATAAAATATTAATGTTTGCATTAAACTTCAAATATTTACCAAATATCGGCATGGAAACAGAAGGAAAACAAGAACTGATGGGACAAAGTTTACATGACTTAGTGTCCTGGCTGAAATCACAAATAATATACATCAGTTCCTGTTGTAATACAAGCTTATGCTATTGCTTGTAAAACACCATATTTAATCAGAATCATATTGTATATTATTAAAAATTAAAGTGCATGTAAACATGCTCATTGGGATCTCTGTTAGGTAGGTTCCCTCTGTTGATACATAGCCGATAGCATTTTGGATAGCTGAAGCACTTTTATTTCATCATTTGTTTAAAGAGTTTTGCTTTTGATGTGTAACTGGGGTTTACAGCTAATGTGAGTTATTTATTACCAACCTTGTGTGCACATTTGTTTTATCTAGCTGATAGATGACAGTGAATAATGAAACAGATATCTGGCATTTACAGTGCTTGGGCAAGATAATACTCTCAAATGTGGCACTAAGAAGTTTCTTTTCTTTAAATAAATCTGTAATAATAACAGGATCTCTACAGTGCAAATATAGATTCTGTAATGTAGAGCAATAACATATTTAACTCTCAGAACTTTTGTTTTCCAAATCAATTTTGCAGCTAGTCTGTACTAACATGACCCTCCTCAACAAAGGCATGGTAAAGTCTTGGAAGGAGAGTTCCAAAACCAGAAATCATTTTTGCAACAGCAGCAACAAAACACGAAAAAATTAAATTCTTTCTTTTTTTAAGAGAGCACAGATTCAATTTTGAGACACAATAGAAGGTATCGTACATTCACATTGTATGGGACAACAGAAAGGCTGGCAAGCTAATAAAGTGATGCTAATGTGCTTTGTGATGCAGTGGAAGTCCCCAGCTTTCAGCTCTAAACAGATGGGATCTTTCCCACAGGATCAGATAAAAGATGTCCATCTCTAACTCTGCAGAGCATAGCAGATTCAACAAAGGCTGCCTCTCAAAGGCGTGCTGTCCATGGGTGCTCACACAGTAGTCCCTCGCATAAAATAAATGTTGCAGAGCACACGCAGCAATGATGAGGTTAAATTGAGGCATATCAATCTTCACTAAGGCAGGAAAAAGAACCAGATCAAAACAATCACACTAAAGAAATCTGTGGTGGCATCTGCCACAGCTGGGGAGATGATGACGCATGATGATCCTGAACATTTAAAGCATCCTATGGGATGACAGTACCTCTAATAAACAGCATGTCTTAGCTTCCTTATTCCACAGGCTAAATCATAAGATGTCAAGCTCTGTAACTGTGGCAACGCCTACTCATCATATATTCAAATCCTTTGAATTTTTGGAACATGGGATTCAAGGCTAAGCTGGGTAGACATCTATAAATACACATCACCTTGCCTTATATTTTCCATATCACACTGTCAGTGGGAGCTGCCAAACCATGAGAATATTCTCTAAACCCGCCCCACTTGTCCTAGTACCTGCTGCTGCTCCTTCCTTCAGTCTACGGAAGCCCTTGCCTCCAGAGATAACCGCTGCAGAGATCACCCTGTCCCTGCGCCCCCCATCCCTCTCACAAGGACGTCCCCGGACCCACATTTCTGGGTCATCACTGAGCTCATAGATAGATCCATCTTCCACGCTGTGCTCCAAAGACTCCAGGGAGGAGTCTGACGCCTCGTCGCCCAGCGCCGTTAATGGCCGTCCAGGTAGTCCTGATGTGGAGCGCAGCTTGTACTGCAGCAGAACGCCTCGTCCTTTGCCTCTCCCCTCTCCCTGGTAGGAGCTGGACTGTTGAAGGGATTCCTGAGAGGAGGTATCGCTGCGATCCTCGCCTCCACATGCAGAGTCTGGGCCATCCCCGACAGAATCCCTCTTCAGCAGTTCAGGAGAGAGAGTGCTGGTAGTGGCTACCAGGAAGTCCACAGGCCCACAATGGGCATTTAGAGAGATCATTCCCTTTCCTGTAGGATGCAGGTAGACACAATATTTAATTGTCATCGTGAGAGACAATAAATACTGCTCCTATACAGAGCTGAGGTCAAGTCATTGTCAGTTCCACCACTTAAATGAGATGATTATGCAGTTTCAATTGTGTGAACTGAAAATGACTTGGAGCCCACCCTGGATCAACTGTATTTATTCATTATAATTCCACTGCTGTAGCAGTAATAATGGTAGCAATTGTGTGTGGTGCATTTACATAGCATTCGGTAAACTAGCTTGGAATAAGATGGTCATGATGTAAGGTTTGTGCAAGTGGGAACTTATTACATAATTAACAAAACTTAACAAAACGCTGCCAGGCAGTTTTTAAATTACCCTGCAAGAATATATATACTGTATGATTTGTGTGCCTGCCTGGTAATATCTGCAGTGATTCCCACAGCCACAAGGAAAATGTGAAGTGTGACCTCAATAATGGGCAGTGCAGAGTAATTTTCTATCATGAAAAAAACCTCTTCGCTTTTCTTTTGACCTCTCAAGAGGCTGTTCAATCACAGTCAGTTGCCTCCCTCTGATCCATACCTGTTATTTTGGGGATGCCCTCCAGTTTGGGAACTGGAAGAGTGATAATTAAGCCTTGGGCAGTGCCCACCCATAACAGCCCCTGGCAAATTAGGAGACTTGTGACTCGCATGCTCTTTGGACCTGCAATATAAAAAACATTGACAGAAAATTGAATTGAGTTTTCTTCGCCAGTTATTGTTGTAGAAGGTACCTTGAGATAGCTCAAAACTACAAGAGATTCTGGGGGCTTTTGAAAGAATAATAGATAACTCCCTGTTGACAAAATGATACAACTTTTACAGACTGAATGGTCTATCTTAGACAGTGAATTATGAACTTCCATTGATTTTATTGTTACCAGAAGTTTTTTTTCCCAAATGGCTGTATTAAATGAACTGTTCACTCTAAGCATGAAGGTAAAAGTACTTTTATTATTGGTTATCGGTGTTAGCTTTGGGTAAGGTTTAAGCTCTGTGATCAATCTGTATTTGACAAGCTTAACACATGCACAGCACAGCCACCTAGGGCTCTGGGTTACATAAGATTATGAAAAATTGGATTTGTCTACTTGCTTCTGACCCAGTTGAAAGAAAAAGTCTCATAAAAAGCACAAAGCAGGAAACAAGACGCTGTGAACTTGATATTCTACGTTTGTTTGAGATCTGAGTGTTTTTGAAATATTGAGCTTCAAAGTTTTCACCTCCTACTGTACATAGCAAAACTGATATGCAGGGAAGTTCTCTTTTATTGGTAAAATGACAAACATCCCTTTTTTTTTAAATATTCTTTTTGACATTTCACTTTATTTGACAGTGATAGTAAAGAGAGACAGGAAAGGCAGGGAAGAGAGAGGGGATGAGAAGCAGCAAAAGGCCCGGGATGGATTCAAACCTGGGCTGCCAACCCCAGCTTATGGCATGCGCCCCACCAGGTGGGCACCCCAGTAAAATTACAAACATCCTAAAAGGTACTTCAAATACAAACATTATAATCCTTCCATATAAGTAAGGCCCTACATACCCACGGTATACCCACACAGGTGTTTTCTATCATCGACATCTTACCAACCTTTTTTGTTATTTTTGTCAACTATTATGGCAGAGCAACATGCAACCCCATGATTCCTTCAAGTGTTCTAGTTTAAACCTAGGCAAACACTAAACACACCCAGCTTCAACCTGAAAAAAGCCCAATAATCCAGAACACTTGATAACTACTGAGTCTTTCAATAGTTTAGACAGAACCTTACAATACTGAGAACCGGTTTTCACTTTGAAGTATAATCTTGTAAGGCACAACAGAGAACAATGATTTTAATGAAAAAAATCCCTGTTAAACAAGATTTTGATTTAATGCAAATCATTATGATAGTAACATGCCTTTAGGTTACATATTTAGAAAAATCCAGTAGAAAGACTGTCAATATCATTCAAAGTTTTAATTTGAAGGTGAATCATTTCCCTTACAGAGGGTGCCTCTAACTCATTCTGCTTGAGTTAGTATCACTCATCTTTCAAACAAAACACTATATGGTTGTCTGTAAGTGGTATGAACTTTAACACTAACCTCTTATTAAAAAAATAGACTCACGTATTTACATATATCATTTTGATATCACATTTTGTATTCACATAGTTACTGTAATAGGTTGCTTGTATAAAAAACATGCAAACATGGTCAATGTTGTTCATTTGCCTGTAGGTTTGTTTATTCTTGTCTGTAGCTAATCAGATCTTATGAGATATAATATTGGTGATTAATGCTGCCCTCTGTTAATGTGGCAAACAATGTAATTCAGAGGGATTTTCTTTTCCCTGATAATCCTTGAGATAAACTGTGATTTTATTTGGATAAGCTTAACTTTTTACATCCCGTGATAGAGCATGATGGAAAAGTCAACATACATTTTTTGTTGTAAAGATTTCTATTGCAGAGCTGTTTTTGTAGCACTGCATTAGTGACGGGGAAAGAATAATTGCACACTCTATTATACATGCACATCCTTTGTTTCCACTTAACAAAGGGGTGAAAAACATTGTTTGTTGTGGATTTATTTTTGCATTCCTTCTGTGGTCCCTCAGCTCTTGGCTCACATTGTGGCCTAGTTATCTATAGAACCATTTACCATAATATCCATGGCAATCATAATTGAATTACACCAGCACTCGTGATCACAACTAAGAGAATTCTGATTTACATGTGTAGCTGTATTTACATGTTTGTTTTGTGCCATGCTCAGATTATGGTGATTTGCATGAGTGGTCCAACAGTGTCATTAATTAATTAATTTCACTGTGCAGAGATGAATCATCCCAAGTAGGAGGCTGCTGCTGTGCACAGAAGAGGAAGTGGGGGCAGAGCAGAGGAGGACATTCAGCAAACAGAGAGCAGAAGCCTTTAGGTGGAGACCTTGGAGGGTCACAGCAGTGAGTTAGGCACCAGCAAAAACGGCCTTTATCTCAAAACTGTCTGCCACCTGCTCACATCGCCTCAGAGTCTATTTGTACTTTGGTTAGAGAGCCTAAGTGAGAGAGTGATACTCAAGAACACCCACTCTAGGGTTACCATGAAATCTGAAGTTAGTCGGAAAATGTGGGCGCAAGGCATTGTCTTTAAGAACAGTGATAAAGAGGGATAATGACAAAGGCACTTGAGATTAAGGAGGTATAGCTTAACCTCAAGCAATCTTGCACCTCCAATTTCTGCAGCATTGCACACACTCTGCAGTGTGTAGTGGGTTTATCGTGGGAGCCGGTATTTGCCTTAAAAAAGAAGATGTCTCTAAAGATAAATGTTTCCTTGTGATATGTCACTGAGGACTTTATTTTGGAATATTATTTTTTCACCCTAAGGATAGAGCTATTAAAGGCATTAGTAGAGAAGAGATCAGCAGTTTGCTCTGCCTCAGAAACTTCTCTGTTGTTTACTGCAACTGGAATTCCCTGTTGAGTATAAATCACATTAAGGGGAAAGGATTAGGGGGTATATCATTACTGCATGTCCTGGCATAAGTCAAGGAGAAACCTACGGGAGCAGAGCCCATTGACAGAGGAAGAAACTATCAGTATTTCATGCGCAGTATCTGTGGTTGTAGAGTGTCAGGGGATCCTCTTTTCTCTTGTGAGCTCAACAAATCACAACTTAAGTCAAAGATCCTCTTCCTTTTGTGGACCCTGAAGACATGAGCCAAGAACTCTTTTTCTTTTCACCCTGTAACTTCCCCCAGGGCCGAGCCTTAAGGCTGCCACCATCCCCCCAAATCTGCTGCATATTTCAAGGGGAAGCACTGGCGCTGGGTGAAAATGACCTCTGGGTCACTGGATTCCCCCTGGTACAGGGGCCACAGGAGTCTGATCTCCTTAAAGTCTCCTCTCAAAACAAAAAAAAGAAACTTTGATCTAAGAGAAAAGTTTGGTGTCTGAAACACATTCCTGTTTTTATTTTTTGTTTTTATCCCTTGCTCTTTCTTCCTTTCTTTACTCAACTCACAAGAGAAAACCTCTTTTTCCTGATGAGATGAAGTGCTACCACAGCTTTGAGTATTGCTCTGAATACATCAATCACAGTCTGGTGTGACTCAATGAAAAGGACAATATTTTCTAAATCCAGGTGCATTTATACCAGTCCCTGAAGCTCAAAATGATCTTCACATGTACTAAATGAGCTAATGGCCCTCGTGAAACGGACATATTTCAGGCAAGCTGACATTGAGTCACATGTACTGTAGTTATCACCATTAGACAGTTTTAGGGTTATGCTTCATTGCTATCTAATTTGTTTACCATAGTTCTTGCCTCAAAAAAGGGAAACTCCCACGCTGGCTGATAAATATTTCATCCATCATGAAAGAAGGCTCACAGGAAGTAATGGGCTATCTGTGGCATCCTAAACGGACTGCAGTGAGAAGTGAAACAGGGGGTGAGAGGATTTTAAAGCAGAGCGGATGAGATGAAACGGAGTGTGAGAGGAAAAAAGTGGGACAGAAATAAAGGAAAATATTAACTCAAAAGAGAGCAAAGTAGAGAACATGTAGAGAAAAATGGGTAAAATGGATGTGATACCACAGAAACATGGACGTTTCAAGAAAGACATGAGCGTTTCCATGGGACCCCTTAGCATGATAATCTTTATGGCTGCCATTTTACTGCTCCTCAATGACTTTATTTATAATCCCTATCTCTCACCCCATGGCTCTATTATGGTTTTGCAAAGACCTTAGATAGATACTTATTCAGGTCAGTCCCAGTAGTGCAAGACCCAAGGAGCAACTTGGACAAGACTAGAATACCATTCTGTGGAGGAGAGCATTATCAGTGTTAAATTGGTGCCCTCTTATACAATAAAGACAAAGATGTTATCAGTACAAATAAAATGAAATGTTGTGGTACAATTTGGAAACAAAAATTGCTACAAAGAAAAAAACAATTGTGTTTTTTGGTTTTTGGTTTAGTAACAAAATGTGTTTCAGCTGCACTGCAGGATAGAGCTTGACCTCTCTATATTGGAGGTGAAGACCAAGAATGATGTGTGATGAGTGTTTACCGGTGTTCAGCAGCGTTGAGCGTGTTGAAATGTTGATTTCCTGCAGAAGCTCCAGTGTTTCAGTATGAAAGAGACGAATGGAGGAACCCTCGGAGAATGCCATCCACACCCCTCCACCGGCACATGCCATGTGTGCAACGCTGACCATTGGGTCTGGATGGACTTCAAACTTCTGTAATGGAAAAAATAATAATACTGTTATAAATAAGGGCAACATGGGAAGAAAACGCATTCATCCACATCATTAAGAAATCACATTACCATGATGGAAAATGAAACATTTCCACAGCTGAAAGGTTAGCTCTCTCTGGAATCTTATTCTGCTCTTTGAAACAAAACAGATATTTTGGGGGGAATTTTCTCCATAAAATCTTCTACCATTGTTGCCTCAGTGCAGTTTTTTCAAAAATAGTTTTGGTCTTTTTTCATTTTAGCCTACCATTCTGTACGGATTTTAGCAACATCACAACTAGTTTGTCATTCTCCATGAGTCATTATTTTTATTATTTTTCCAAACCATTGAATGCACAAACAAAAATAAGAGATGAAAGACATGAAGAAAGGAAAAAGAAAGAAGACAGAAGAAGAGAAGGAAAGTGATTGCTTTGATTGACAGAAATGTAGCAAAAACATAGAAGAGAGTCACAACTGTATTGAGCTCCATCGTAGTACGCACTTTAATAACACAGCCTTTTAACTGGTATTCCAATTATTGTGACAGTCATTTCAAAGTTGATTTAGTAGAGTGTTCATTTATATCAAAACATTACAAGGTAACTGTCATAATTAAATCATCGAGGTCAGAAGCCCCCTGAATTTTGCATTCAGTTGCTGCTCTACACTTGCTTTTCTGTAAATAAAGTGTAAGTGTGGCTCCTAATTTTATAATTTACAGACTCCCTGACCCATGGGGCATATTTTTGCATCATTCCCCTGGCTTCTATCTTTTTAAGACTACAATGGAAAAAGAGAGTTTCAGGCACACAGTCTTAATGAGTTGCTTGAAATAAATGCAATGAGCCTTATCATGGCAACACATGCAGCCCCTGCGGTCCAAGGCGTGACAAGGGTTGGTTTGGGCATCATCTTGGAACTCATATCACTGTCAATGCATGAGTTGCATGAGGCTGGGCAATTAGTCAGTGAGAGCCAGTAAGTGAAGATGAGAATGCACCCCCACCCCAACCCAAGTGCACCAGCGGACAGGGATTACCACCTGTTTATGTGCCCTTGCCAGTGGGTCCTCCTTTGTTTGAAATTAGGGAAAAGGAAAGAAGGCTTTGATGTGTTTTTTTTCCTCTTTTAATTGACTCCTCAGCAGTGGGTGCCTGCTTCGCCTGGGAAAGGATATGCAATGCATCTCTTCGTTTTTCAAGTGCAGCCATCAAAAAAATTGATATCCATAATAAAAAGGCAAATTTCACCTTCAATAACCCATTGCAATTCAAATGAGTTGACAAGTTTGTAAAGAAAAACAGAGCTCTACTGTAGTGTATATGCTGCATAATTATTGCATTAATCATTATCTAGCGTGGTGGCTTTAAAAGGGACTTCGAGCTAATCAATGGTTGACATGCTGTAATTGTCGGATGCCATCTTGCTCACCATATGTTCGAAACACCTGGAAGGCATTCTGGGAAACCGAATGTATACAATGATCTAATTTGACCAGGATACACAGTGATCCCAAAAAGTGCCTGAAAATGTGTTTAAATCAGTGATATAACATTTGTAAGAAAACAATGTTTTTACATATATATCCTCTCACATTTAAGCCAATACTTCAAAATAGCATTCTCTAAATATTTTATCATGGATATAGACCAAATATGGTGAACAGGGTTAGGGTTAGTCGCACTGTGTCAAATGCAGGATAAGTACAAGCCACAACTGTTGCCCCCAAACAGCAACCTGGTATTAGTCTGCTGAATCCAGCATTGCTTACAGAGATGAGGTGGTCAGTGAAGCTTGACAGTAGTAATGTGCCCTTTCCACTCAACTCGGCAGTGTCACACTAACAGCAACATCCCTCCTATAGTCCTCCACCAGCAGTGGGAAATAAAAGCAGAGCTAAAGCCACAAACACTACAGCTGGTCTGAACAGCTCATTAGTCCTTCATTACGCTAGGTGACAAGGTGTCTTTGTCCTTTGCTGAGCGCTAAGGCTACATCTCCACTCTGAGCTATGGCGAGGGACTCAAGTGGACATGTGAGTGATCGGAGAAAGCAGGTAGAAAAAGAAATAGTAATGGGACGAGGACAAAACTGAAAAGTGTCTGAAATCATGACACAAATGTTGGTAGATTTTATCAAAATTACATTTGTGTAAAAATCTAACAAATGAGCAAAGTACTGAATTATAATCAGATTCAAATCAGCCCCTACTGTGTGACTATCTACAAAATGAAATACAAACCGGTAGTTTGAGGTTTTCCTTATTTTCTCCCCGGTTAAGTTGTTTCAAATTGTGTGCCATACTTCCCACTGCTACCAAACCTCTTTAGGTGGCCTGATGGAAATGGAAATAAGTTTTTATTATTTTGCAATTTTACTGATTTTACTGAGTTTTTTTGTTCAGATATCCAGTTCTCCTAATACATCCCTGGACCAAATCAGAGGTACCATTGATGCTGGTCTCAGGAGTGACAGGACCTCGGGGCTGAATTATCTTTTTAGCCGGAGCAGTGGCTGGGCTTGATCAAATTTGTACAGCAATTGAAGGTCCCCAGAGGATAAAGTCTTATGACTATATTTCCACCATATGGAACAGCTCGATTCGACTCGATTTCCATTATAGATAGTACCTTGTACTTTTTTGATACCACCACTGTCAAGATTCCAAGCGAGCTGAGCTGACACTAGGTGAGACACGATAAAAGGTAACATGAAGACACAGCAGACACCTAACTGATTGTGCGACATGGGACATCCCACACATAAATAGCCAAGCTACCATAAATAGTGACCACATTTTTGTATTTCCTTAAATATGGCAGCCTTTATCAATACACAGAACAGCAACTGTTCCTTTCCACTGTTAGAAGATCAGCAGCTCCTTTTTGCGTGAATAGTTTTAGTCCGTGGTTGTGCAAAAAAGAGAGTGGTGAATGTGAGCGTTGCTGAGGAAAAAAGACACACATTTTTAAGAGTTGACGATCCTTTGGGTTTCTGTTGGAGGTAATTGCCTACCCTAAGTAAGTATACAGCTATGTTTAACCAAAACAGATTGTAAAGGTTATATTCAAATAATAATGTGTCAACAAGGCATTGAGCATGAAGATTTAAAAAGAGACTAAATAAAGTAGTAGGGTGCTTGGACCAGCGGCTTCAGTCCAGCAAAGTTATGGATAAATGATTCAAAAGTGCAGCAAATCTGACAAAATGGTGAACATCTATAGTGGAAAACAATGAAGTGAATGAAGTCCATGACCCTGTAGCATTGCTTCAAGTCATATCTCTTGCTACAGGTGCCAAGTATTGCTTCTCCAGATCCTGGATATGCACCACAGCCCCTGTGAAGTCAGCCCCCTTGTGTCCACATTAGTGAGAAGGACAAGGTTAGCAAAGAAGTAACCAGAGCTGACCTGTTAAGCACTGTGGGAGATACAGTGAACCAGAACTGTGCCTCCAGTGCGTGGCCATTCAGCTGATTAAGCTTGGGTCTCTGGAGGCCTGGGTGAGGGAAAAGAGGTGAAGGTATAAAAGGAGACATCCCTAGCTCAGCTCTGTCCTGATTATAAGGATCTGGAGGCAGACTCAATAAGCAGCTGTTTCTGTATTTATTGTCCAGATTTGTCAGCTTTTCAATTTGTTGCAACTCTTAAGAGAAAAAAATGTAAATCCATGTACATTTTAACTTTGCACTTTATATGATTAAAGATGTTTTTGCTACTTTACTGCATGTTGTTCTGTTATCTGTAAATATATTTGGCCAGGTCAACCAAAATATCTGCAATTGCTAATAGAATGAGTGGTTACATAAAGGTTGTACATTTTCCTAATTCTGTTCTTTCTGGAAATGTAGCTAATTTCCATTGAAAATGGAAAACAAATGTATATGTTACATGTTGGTGATGAGACACGTGCATTTTGTTCATTGTTAGCGTTTTAGTTTGTCCCACTGTTCAAATTCAGCATATTTTTATATGTCATCAACTTCTATTTATCCAGGGAAGGTTTTCTGAGCACACATGCTCCTTTTCAACAAAAACCCTTCTACCCATTTGCAGTTAGGCACACTCACATCTGGGAGCTATAATTAAATGGTAATGGTTTGCAGTTCGGTATCTGAATACCATATTAACATTACCCAGAAGAGTTTGTTTTCTGTCGTTCATTATTGTCTACCACAGTTGGAGAAGTGGCCCCCCTGTACACCTCTAATGACACACTGTAGAGATGAACACCTTAGAGAATGACTACACAAAAATGGAAAGCATGACAGGGACAACACCCGGGATGATTTTCTGGAGATAATGGCACATTCCTGGACCATAACTCAGAGCGCTACAGCAAAATAAAGCTTATTTGTGTGTGAAAGCTCCAACAAACATTGCATGAATCTACAAAGGGTTTGATTCGTTGTCCATGCAGCAGCTCCAGGCAGTAAATCTTGATGACATCACAGATTAAGAATTCCGGCTCTCTAAAGCTCTGTGCATAAATCTTTTCAGAAAATGAAAGGAGAGGAAAATTTCTTCAAATGCTGCAAAAAACAACAAAACAAATAAATAAAAAAACACCTTGTCGAGCAGTTTCCCTCATGAACCTATCCATTTAGGTCTTCTAACCATGTTTTAATGAAGACTGCGAATATTTATCAGCTGGCATAGTGGGTGGAGTTGAGCTTGCAACTAGGGGTGGAAGAAACATCAATTTATTTGAAGCTCACTTTTTAACTGGTTAGACATACTGTACCTTTCAAACAAGAGCTTTTGAATTGCTGAATATTATAATCTTTATAGGTTTTTTTTGCAAAATTGTGTCAAAAACAGTCAATACAACACAAGCAATATTTTTGCTTTATAACAACTATTTAAACATAAGGAAGCATGGCATGGTAATGGTATATATCACTATATATTTGTTTTTCTTCTGAGGGGGTAAAGCACTGCTATGGCAACTGCATGGCAGCTATTAATGTACTCCTAACTGTATTACTAGGCCATATTTCACATAGCACAGAGGTATTTTATTATATGTCGTTCCACAGCTGACTTTTTTTCTCATAAGAACAGCCTTTGGAAAATGTGTGAGAAAGCTTTTTCTTCCCACCGCTGCTCAATGATTCACTTGCGGAGGATGCACTCTTTTGCTTTCCTCATTTTCCAGAACGTGTTTTGATTTGAGGTGACAGAAAAGATTGCTTGTATTACCATCCTTTCCAACCACTGGCGTCCAACATAATTTGCAGATTATCGTATCCTGCAGGTTGTCTGACTTTTTAAACCCGAACTATGTCCAAATAATGGAAGTTGCACCATTTTATTTTTTTTACCAACTCCTCCTCCTGTGAGTTGTGTGCAATGCTTTCAGCCATTTCTTCATTTCCAAACATAGCAGCATGGGCCCTCACGTTTTCCAGATGACCTGCTGAAACAGGCCGATGACAACAAATCGTGTAACTAATCTTCGGCCATCTTTTTTTGTTAGGACAAGCAAAATAAGGGCCCTACCGGTCAGCGCTATACAGTCAAAATGTATACCGTTTGGAAAATTCATACTGGTGTACTTTATTTACCTGTATACTGTCCACCCCTAACCTTTACTATAATATTTTTTAAACAAAAAAAGAGCCGCCAACCACAGTGATAGGCATTGGGGTCAGGTGCATCTGTCGTAGACTTTGTTCCAACTTAGGGTGATTCATAATTATACTTGGTACCAGAACACCTCTGGCCAAAGATTGACGATCATCACATGATCGGTATTTTTTGCATACTCGAGTGGAGAGAGGAACAGAGCTCTTAAATTATCACGACCTATTGGTGATTTGGACCTTCTGGCTTGGATGTCCCTTCCCAGCACCACGCATCCTGGGGGGGAAGGCTGGGGACATGGAATTCGAGAGTGCTTTGTTCAAAGTCTCCATTGTGGAGGCAGCTGCTGTGAGTTGGTGTCAGAAGGTCATCAGTCAACAAGGAAGCAGTAACCTGGGCATGGGAGGAGTTTGGTGAAGCTATGGAGCCAATCATTGCATTCAGTTCAAACGACATGATAGGCTGCTTCTGTAATGTTACCTTTTACAACCTTGCTCTTTTAAAGCTTTTTTCGAAATTTCCTTTAAAAAAATGAACAATAAGTGTCCAATAATCTTAAAGAAACAAAAAAAACAACGCATAAACATACAAAAAGAACCCTTTGTAACGGTTGCACCAAAATGCTTGATGATGACGGGATAATCAATACAATTATATAATTTTAAAAAATAGATATTTTACGAAAGGCGTTCAGGAAACATTCAAATTATTTTTTTCAGCTGCCTCAGGATAAGGACCATATACCATGAATATATTATAATGTAATGAGCATATATTAATGTAAACAACTCTATTGAATTGATGGACGTACGGTATTTCTACTTGTGTGAAAATTCTGAACTGGAAGTTTTGTTCATTGCTTCTAAATTTTTTCCTCTTAAGGGGGAACATCCACATAAATAATGCACAATCCTGAGAATTTGCTCAGATGGTAGTAGTTTTTCCAGAATGAAAAATCGTTGCCCGTTTATTTTTTTAGTAAAAAGGTAAACTGCAACATTATGTTCCCAGCAATGATTTATTTATTTACCTGAGTGGTGAGGCTGGAGATGTCTACGACTGTGACAGAGTTCCCGCAGCTTGCCCACACTGAGTCATCTAACACCAACAGTGTTCGCACTGGTTCTGAGCCCAGGCTTACACATCTGCAGGAGTCAGGGTCCCAAAGGTCATCTGAAAAAAATCAGGAACAAAAAAACTGTGAACAAGAAACAAACTACAACCAAGTGATCCCGAGGATGTAAGGAAACCCTTAAAATCACTGACTATTACCACAGCTTGCCTACAGTTATATTAATAAACTCTGAACACATGCCCCACTTTTATTTGAACACTGTCACATGGAGCGAGGCAATTAAATTGAATTCTTCTCACTTGTAACACAGCAAGTTAGCTTGGTGTTTACTTTAAAAAATACTCTTAAAGCTATCTAACGTGGTTGAGCAATTACTAAAGCATCAGTGGAGAGGGCTCAGAGTGGAGTCTCGTTTTATTTCACTCTAATGAAAAAAACAGCCATGTGAGAGAATATGTACTACAGGTTGACTAAATAAAGACTGTGGACTTCCATTTGAATCACCACACACTGCACAGCACAATGTTTGCACCCTTGCCACCTACATGCTAATAAGTAGTGCACACTTTAATCTACTTTCCAACTTCTTTATCATCAGTTCTTTTCTCTCTCTCGCTCTTTCTCGCTCTCGCTCTCTCTTTTTGCTTCATCAGTGTGAAAATGAAGCAGACCTTTTTTCTTTGAGCTTTAATCATGGGGCACACGTTGCAGCTACCACAGAAGCACATTATAAAGTGAATTACATAAGCATTTCCTTTGCTATGCGTTAATGAAGCAAAATTAGAAAAGGAAGAGCACCCAGCCATTTAATTAACATTTTGAGTTGTTTATTTCTGCCTTTCATAGCAGAATAGCTTTACAATGCCTTGTGACTGCCACAGGTTAATTGCTTGGCATGTTATAAAGGTCAGTTTTCCACCTTTTCAAAATTCACTCTTGTAAATGTCCCTCCGGCCCCTTGCGCTAAGCAAGGCAATGCCAAAGCTTGTCCCTCTTTACCACAGAGGCAAACTTCTCTGCCTCGTCCTGCAGAATTTTTTCATTGTATGTTGATGCTCAGGGAGGATAGCTGGAGCATATTATTCAATAAGCAACAATGTGTTTGGTGTATTTATACACCTTTTGATACAAGTCTCAACTGAAGCCTTGGCATTTCCTGGCTGATGCAGATTTGTTTTTAGACAGTAGCACGCTAGTCAAGGGCATAAATCTTTAACAGATGTGCCGAATCCACAAACATTCCCTGGCACCCTCCAGAGCTTTTCTCCTGTCTTTTTTTTATATACAAAGCATGAATAGTAATATTTAATCGGCATGCAGCAGCTTGGTGTAATTAATCATCCTTTCTGCTTGGGAGGAGAGAGGAGCACAGGAGGAAGGCAGGCACATTGACACACTGTGGCCAGGTAAGAAGAACCTGGTGATAGAGCTATTGTGCTCCCGCTGGCTGTGAAGACTGCAAACCACTGCTGAGATGGTGTTAAGCCCCCCTTGGCCTTCTGCAATGCCTGACTAAACATGCCATGCCATCTACCACATGGTGAAGTGTTATTTTCATACTTACAGCAAGTGTGAAAATCAGTAGGAATGGTAAGTATAGCATAGGGAGAGGGAAAGGGATTCTAAGGCAACCATTTGAAAGGTAGTCCAATATTAATAGAATTTTTACAAATACTCTCATTCTGAAAATGGGTTTGGTACTGAAAAATTTATCACATGTGACACATAACACTAGTATTGAGCACAACAGATGTCTGCTACAGAGCTGTTTTAGTAATTTAAAATGCATGAAAATAGTAAAACTAATTTGTGTTAATTATTTCACTGAAGAAAAAAATATTTTTGTTGATGAACAATGCCCATTAGAAATTAACAATAAGAAATGTTTCAGTCCATTTCACTTCACATCTCATTAGGAGAGTGCAGATCCAGATTCCTATCTAATAAAGCAAAAGGGATGTGAAACATTGGATGAACTCATATCAGTGAATAACCAACAAAACTATTAGAAAATATATTGTGAAATTAATACACACTGTTTATCTCGTGTTTGTATTGCATTGGGAGAAGCAAACACAAGTCAGTGCTGTAATGACAGGCCTCAAATATGTTTTGTCTTAACGAACATGTTTTGCATTTTGAATTAGTTTTTGTTTAATTTTTCATCGTATTTTACAATATTCTACCAATATACATTTTTAAAAAGCACCATTGAGCATTTTATGTTTTAACTTCACCACCAGACCACATATTGAGAATGGCAACAGGCGACACAAACTACAGCTATTAGTCTGAAAACAAAGCAACCTTGGAGGCACCTTACCACTGTTACTTCTTCCATAAACCATCATGGTCCCGTTCCGCAGGCCTGCAAACAGGAAGCGAGAGGAGTGCTTGAGGCTTAGCACAGGGCAGCCCTCTGGGTTATGGAGGGTCAATAGGCATTGTGCTGCAGTGTCCACACTGCCGTAGACCAGTATGCTGAAAGAACAAAAGCAGCACAAGCCAACATGATAAATGAGTGTCATTTGAAATGACAGAGTGCCTCGTTTTCATGCAGTTTGATTTAACAGTGCACTTTGGAGCAAAGCATTGTGTATGTGCAACCACTCTGTCTTTCTCATGTTTGAAATGCCATCTGAACTTTGCTTGCAACTTATTGTCTTCTTCAGAATGACAAATGTACATTGCTGTTTGTTTCTCTCTGTCTGAGAAGAAGCTGACAGCCTTTCGAGTGTGCTAAAATGCTGAAATTGTTTTTTTTTATTTTATTGTTTTTTTTCCCCCTGGACAGACATTGGAAGGGAATGAGTCAGCATAAAAATTGCTGACATATGATTTAGGTTTTCATAGAAAGTGACTAAACAGTGCTGTAAATTTTAAATGACATAAGCGTGGTTACATAATGGCTGAATCTGAAATTAAAGAACATTCTCAGTTTGAAAAAAACTAAAAGAGTGTATTAATTGAAGACACGACAGGAGAGATTAAACCTATCCTCTATCACACACAGTGGGGATCACAAGGTTTATTGCATTTGAAAATGAAATAGTGATCTTAGCAGCAGTAGCAGTATTGATGCTGTGTTGGGGTATCAACTCTGATTTCCTGCTTTGATGAAATATTGACAAGCAAATCTATACTAGATAGACTAGACTAGAACTCTCAGGGGACCGTAACAAAGGATAATACTGGATATTATTTTACAACACAAGATCTGGAGTATTTTGAAAAGCGTTTGCATCTTTATATTTGTGCTATTTTCTAAATAAATCAAATTTCATGATTTTACTTCAATCTATATCAGCAGAAAAGCTTGTTTCTCTTTTTTTTTCTCATGCGGCTGTTGTTTTCTGTGATGTCAGTCTCTTACCGCCCATCGTCTAATCCAACACAAATGTTGGCGCCGTTCCCCGAGGGGGCCTTTTGAACTCCAGCCTCCACTTCCTCAGTCCGAGAAGGTTCTGGCACATATTCCAGACATCGGACAACAGAGCCGACTTGCAGGCTCTTTACAGCCCTTGGCATGGGCCTGTTGAGGGAAAATATCTCTATCTGCCCCTGAGAGGCTTCCCCTCCACCAGCCACCTGTAGGGAGGAAAAAAACATGGTTGAAGAAGGTCGAGACCCCATGTTAAGCTGTACCAATGGACTGAATCATAATGCCACGGGTAATAAACTATTCTGCTGAAACTGAAAAAAAAGAGATTGAAGGACCAGAGGATAATGTGTCTTTGGTTAAACAGTCTCTACCTGTCAGCAATTTAGATTTCCAAAAAGTTCAAATCAATTATCCTTTCAGACCTTGCCGTTTGTAGCCTTCCCTCACTTTTTCTTGAATATCACTTTGAATTTGAATTGAAACATATTATGTAATGGATTCACAATGTCATCTCCAGAACATCAAACAATACTTAAAACTCTGCGATCTTTTCATCAGTGAAGAACAGAGAGGCTCTTGTATGTTTCTGAAAGGCTCTGAGTTGCTTAACAATGAGGTTTCTTTAAACAAGTTTACAAGATCAAGTGACTGATTGACAACTATTGTTGGAGTAAGTTCATGGTAAAATGAAAAATAAAATAATTTTTAATTGATTCAACTGACATTGACTGATATTATCATGTCCAAGGTCACACTGAACACTGGAAGCTGCAGTTCTTAGTACAAATATAGATGGAAACACAAGCATACAAACAGAGCCTTTGAAAGCTGGGAGCTTTCAGTGGCTCAATTTGGATTGATTGGAAGTTTCTACCATGCAACGCCTGCAGATGTCTGTCCTTTTTTGAAGAAAGCACAAGTTGGGGGAAAATACCTCCCTAACAAACAAGGAAGCAAGCTTGGATGCTATCATAAAAAGTCCACCAATCATAACAAGCTTCCCAAGGCGAATCACGCCCCACAGGCTGAGTGACTTGATTTCCTATGTACCACATTAACATTAGCCTTTGTGTAAGTCTGTCAATGCCAGTGCTGAGAAAACGAAGACAGCAGGAGCCCTCCAACCTATCTCTGATGCAATTCCAATTAAGGTGGCATTGCTCCCATTCCCAAACAATTAAAGTGTCGCTGTGGGTTTTCAATACAATTTCATTCATTAATCCTGTGTGAGGCCTAGGTGGTGTCCAGACAAAATACAATGTCCTTCTTGGAAAAGAAGCACGGCTGCTTGCTGCTAGACACCAAAGATTTATTCTCTGTGTGAATCACATCGTGTGAATGTGACATGAGCTAAATATAGTCTTTAGCTCTTCTCCTCCACACTCACCCTTATTTGCATGCAATCATTTGTTTGATTTGTATCAGCGTGCAGAATCTGGACAGGAGCGATCCTGTGGGCTCTTGAGAATGAGCCAGAACAAATAATGGTCTGTTGCACAGGGTGAAAAAAAAGATAGGGAGGACTTATCTTGCAGCGAGGAGCCCGAAAAAACACGGCTTCAAGTGACTCTGTGTAACCAGAGCCAGAGGCAAGGCCTCACCCAGACTACTTCACAATTTATACATTCACGTGTCCATCTTTACCTCCCAAACCCCTCAACGCACCACCATCGCCACTATCCCTAGTGTCAACGAACACTTTCCCTTCTTCTTTTAAATTCTCTCCCTCCTTTCTCTCTCCCCCTCTCTCTGTCTCTCTCCCCCCACCCCATATCCAGTGCAAATACTGTGTCCTGACAAAGTCATGACTACTTATTTAGAGAAATAGATGTCTGGAGTCGTGCCCTGGACAGATTCCTCCTCTCAGCTTGGGAGAAACAAAAACTTCCCAAACAGTAAATACTCTGCCAGCATTAATTAGATTGCTCTGGATGCAGTGAGGAAGCGTGGGAGAGTGGTCATGATAGCACACTCTGCTCAATTGTATTTGCCACATTAAGAAGCCAAAACCATGGGTCACAGATTGTTGATGTACTCTGAAACGGATGCATTTCAAGTTTCCCCTCACTGACACTTGCTATGAATTCTAACTTCCTGAGTAAGTGTATAAGAAAAGAGACATAATGGCAGAGTTAGTAGTAGGATGTTGGGAAAAGTGGGACAAGGAAGGTGAAGGCAACAGGAAAACACTGGGGTATCAGGCTGATTAGACACAATGTCATTACTCTGATCAAAGCACACAGAAATCCCCATAGCCCATCTCACTTTAACATGATTAGTGTCATCCCTTATTTGACAAGCCTGCCAGGGAGGTAGAACCAACTGGGGGTGGGAACACTCAGCCACTAATTATTCTTGCTGGATCTTCAGGCCTTCGCTGTTATTTTTTTAGTGGTTACCAGTTTGTTTTTTGCTTTGGTTACATGTTGTACCGTACAGTATGTAACACTGACTGCAGTCTCATATACTGAGTACTCAAGGAGCTGCTTGCCCTGTTCGCAAGGTCGGCTTCCAGAACTTCTGAGTGAGCAGGAATGTACTGCTAAGTAAATTTGCTCTTTTAATTTCATTCATAACTAAAATGTCTTCCAAAAATGTTAACTTGTATGTGAAAGATATCCTAATGAGATATAATTTAATACATCATTCATTCCATACAGATAGCATTCATAATAAAGGAGTCATAGTCCTTGGGTCTCTACAGGCAGACACCTTTAAGTTATTGGAATGCAATAAATGTACCAACGTTTATTCAGAATATCAAATGTGACTGCTTCTATATCCAAGAATGCCATTATAATTCAATCAAGAGGTGCATTTTAATTGTTTACTGAACAATGCTGCATCTCAGTGTAACCTCTAACATTTTCCTTCCCTAATATTCAGATGCAAACTCTCTTTACTTTTGAGGCTTGAACTTAATAATTGAAATTACTGCCATAAAAAGACTAAAAGATTAAAGATTTGACTTTGAAAATTAAAAACTTCCCAACATCAAGTTTCGACCTGGTACAATAAAAAAAGAAGTAGCGTGATCATGCACATTACATGTTTAATTATTAGGCCTATTGATAGAAAGAAAAGGAAAACGTTTAAATTCCTCCTTTAATAGTCACCATTCAGACTCCTGAAAGATCTTGGCTTGCAATTTATGTTGAAGACTTGATTTAGACTTGCCCTCAAGGACTGTGTGGCTTGACTTGAGACTTGTTCTGACAGACTTGAGATATGACTTAAGCTTGTCTTGAATAACATGAACCTTGAATAAATAATGTTCAGCTCTTTGCTGTATGCCTTGCTGCTATGCTTTAATAAGGAATGAACTTTATCGCTACAGATAACTGCTGAATTGTTTATGAATGCATGTGGTTGTAAAGGTATTAAAACCTTTTAAGGCAACGCCTCAGTCTAGTGTTCAGTAACTTTAGTGGATGCATTTGCTAACACGGTTAACACACAGCATGTGGCAAATTACCTTTATTCCTCCAAATAGTGTGGGAGTCCAAGGTCAGGGGCATTTAAGTCATCCGTAATAGTATGTGCTCTAAGAGAAATTGAAGGTGAGAGACACCTATGGCCCTTCAAACGCTGATATCCCAGTGCCCTAAATGCCAGCTATATACCATATCTCCTTTTCCCCATCTGAGTGAGCATCCAGTCTCCTTTAGAATAGCCCATAAGCAATTAAGTCTGAAACACTGAGCCGCACTCTGTGTCTTAGAGGGCCTACACTTGATTTAGCCACCTTCCAGGTCGAAAGAGGATCACCTGATGAATTGCCCACCATCTCCGAAAAGGAGGGGGAACAAAATTTGAATCTCAAAGATTAATAGCAGATTCTTTGCATCTGTTTTTTCTCTGAATTTCCCCCTCTTTCTAGATCCAGTTAAATTCCCACAAGTCCAGGGATGGTGATGTAATAGTCTGGCGGCACAATTTGCCCCACTCATCATAAAACACTCTGCAGTTACCTACCACTAGCCTTTAGACTGTATTAATTCACAGTTTCCTGGTGACATTTTACCGAGATAAATGGTGTCCCATCCTCAGCCATGAGATACTTTTTTTTATTCTATTTTTAATGAATGAGAGCAAAATGTAGGATGGACATTTAAACAGCCATAGTAATTGTGTTAAAAGCTAAAATTATCAGCAACTGTAAAATATGCATTATTTTGCCTTGTCATGGGTTTTAGTTATTTGGCATTCAGTTTTTGCGTGTGCGTGTTTGTGTTTGCGTGCAAGTAACACATTACTTACCCAGAGGTAGCCTTGAGGTAAGGAGGTGCTCGCTGCAGAGAAGCCCAACAGTGCACAGTGAACGGGATTGTGGAGGGCAGCTTCAAGCTACAAAAGACAAAATGAATATTGATTTAATATGTATCATGGTTCAATACTTATTTTTTCATTCTTTTGATGTAGTATCAAAAAATACCTTCTGGCACTAGCTGGTCACTTTTTGCAAGGATGCATGTGAAATCAAAATTCCTGCTAACGACAAAGTGCCTCAACTCTACAAGAACTTTTGCGTGGAGGTGGATGGCTTTCTTTCAACATTATGAGCTGTAAATCAAAGTAAAGTAAAATCACTGATATTATTGTTATTATTATTAGTTATTATTAAGTATTTATTATTGCTACAGTTACTGTTGTCGCTGCTCGCTGTCCCCCATCGTTGCTGTCTCTCTCTATCTCTCTCTCTCTCTGTCTCTCTCTCTCTCTCATGGTGG